TATGAAGCCAGCATTACCTTGATACCAAAACCAGACAAAGACCCCACTAAAAAGGAGAATTACAGACCTATCCCCGATGAACATGGATAAAAAAAATTCTCACCAAGCTACTAGCTAATAGGATCCAACAGTACATTAAAAGGATTATTCACCACAAACAAGTGAGATTTATTCCTGGGCTGCAAGGGTGGTTGAAGATCTGCAAATCAATCAGTTTGATACAGCACATTAATAAAAGAAAGGAAGAGAATCAAATGATCTTCTCAACAGATGCAGAAAAAGCATTTGACAAAATACAGCATCCTTTCCTGATAAAAACTCTGTACAATGTAGGGATAGAAGGAACATACCTCAATATCATAAAAGCCATATATGAAAAACCCACAGTTCAACACAGTATTGGAAGGCCTAGCCTCAGCAATCAGACAACAAAAATAAATAAACTGCACCAAATCAGCAAAGAGTAAGTCAAACTCTCACTCTTCACAGACAACATGATACTCTGTGTAGAAAACTCAAAAGCCTCCACCAAAAAATTGCTGGAACTGATACAGGAATTCAGCAAAGTGGCAGGATATAAAATAAATGCACAGAAGTCATTTACACTACAATGAGGCAGAATAAAGAGAAATCAAGGAATTGATCCCATTTACAATTGCAATAAAACCCATAAGATATCTAGGAATAAACCAAACCAAAGAGGTAAAGGATCTATGCTCTGAAAACTATAGAACACTTATGAAAGAAATTGAGGAAGACTAAGAAATGGAAAAACATTCTATGCTCATGTATTGAAAGAACAAATATTATTAAAATGTCTAGGCTACCCAAAGCAATTATACATTTAAGGCAATCCTTAATAAAATACCATCAGCTTTTTTGCTGAAACAAACAGTCCTTTCTCTTCTCCTTCCAGGATCTCTATGTGTATATTCATCTGTTTGATTTGTCCCATATGGTGCCCCATAAATCCCTTAAGCTATCAGCACACTTTTTTTTTCCATTCTCTTATGATTGGATGAATTCTACCGCCCTGTCTTTGAGTTTGCAGATCTGTTTTTTCCACTTCATCAACTCTACTGTTGAGCCCCTCTATTGGATTTTTCAGTTCAATTATTGTATTCTTCAGCTCTATGATTTCTGTTTGGTACTTTTTTATATTTTCTCTTTGTTGAAATTCTCACTTTGCATATACATTCCACTCCTGACCTCAGTAAGTATCTTTATGATGATTATTTTGAACTCTCTATAAGGCAAAGCACTTATTTACATTTCATTAAGATCTGTTTCTGGAGTTTTTTCTTCTTTTGTTTGGAACTTATTCCTCTGGTTTTTTTTTGTTTGTTTGTTTGTTTTCATTTTCTTTGACTGCTAATTTCTGTGTATTAGATAAAACAGCCATCTCTCCCCATCTTGACAGAATGATCTCATGTAGGAGATGAGCCTTGTTGATCAGCCCAGCCTAAGTTCCTAGCTGTCTCTCAAACTTTTGTGATTGTCTAAGCTGTCTTTGTTTTTAGTGGCTCACAGTAGTTGAGCATGTGCCAAGAGCTGACAGTGTCCCAAAGGAGAGGATCATAATCAGCAACCAATTGCAGGCTGATTAGAGGCTGGACTCTCAGGCACCAGCAAGGAAAGTATGTTGTTAAGCTCCATCCAGGGAGATGCTGGGAAGTTGGTTTTATTATTGGCATGAACTGGTGTGAAATGTGTTTGCCAGCTTCCCAGGACTGGAAAATTGCAGCCAGCCTGTAGTTGACTGCTAAATTAGAAGCCTGGCCCTCAGGCAGCAACTTTTAAAAGTTGCAGATATACCTCTCTGGGGACAGACTGGGACATGGATGATTTTGCCTTTCCCTCTGTACTGAGCCCTGGAGGGACAGTCATGATTAGTGCTCATGAGGCCATTATAATTGCTGCTTCTTCTTCTTTTTTTTAATAGTCTTGTGGGTCTCATGGGCACAGCTTTCGGACCTAGGTGTTTAGAAGTCCATACCTTCAGTGGGAGTCTTAAAGGTTGGGGCACTAGATGTGGGGTCTGAATCCTCCACTCCTCAGGGAGTAGTTAGGAGCTGAGGGTTCCCTCTAGTTTCTGACACTATATCAGGGAGTGAGGTTTATGGTGAGAACGTGTCTCAGCCTTTCCCACCTATTTTGATGTGGATATTTTTTCATTCTCACAATATGTAGAGTCACTCAGCTAGTTTCTGGACCTATTTCAGAGGGCATTGCTTGTGGGTGGCTGTACATTTGGGGTATGTGTGGGAGGAAGGGAGCTCAGGAGTCTCCTGTGTCACCATCTTGGTCAACTCCGAACTAAACTCCCAGTTCCTTTTATTTATTTTTGGAGAAATCCTAAATTATATTTCCTGGAAGCATTGCACTTTGCTAAAATATCTCCTAAGACAAAATGGCCTGAGCAGAAACACAAAAACAAATACTTCAATTGTGCTCCTACCAGTATGAAGAAATGTAGTAATGTCACTCACAGTAATAAAACCCAAGTTTTCAAAGCTATTGGCAGTAGATGTCACAGATTTGATTTAGGTGAAGGCTGCCATCAACAGCATCCTAAATCTTTCGTATAAACTGCCTTCAAAATGGATCTCTTCTTGTCTGCATTTTGGTATTTCAGCTTTGTTGTTGTTGTTTTGTTGTTAATTTTAATGCAGGGACTTTATAATTACTCTGTGTTAACTTCAGCCTACTATGATACAAAAGATCCCATCATTTGGTGGATGAGCACTCCCTTCCAGCACTGTCTCATCTAGACCTTTGACAAGCACAGCTTCTGTATCTTCCCTCAGAAGAGGATCAGTCAGAACAAAGCCAACAACAGAGCCCCCATACTCATTGAACAATCCTGGAAATAGCCTCCACAAGGACAAAGAAGGTATCTTTTTCATCACCAGTATATATCCAGAGCCTAGCACAGGATCTGACACAAAAGTACCCACTCAAAATAATGTGCTCGTTCTGATCTAAATTTGAAACATCTAACTTCTCATCCACTTCCAGCTTTAGCTCCCCCTTAACTATGTAGTTCTACCTTGTCCAGTTTGGAGAGGAATCTCTGATAGAGAACACAGAAACAAAATAGGGACTCAAAAGCTCTGCTTTCTCCCCATATTCAGTTACAACATCTGTCCTAAGAATTGTGTTTCTCTCATGTTCACTTTATCACATAAGAAATGCACTAGAAACAAATTACAATGAACTTTCTAAAGCTATGGGTACTCATTTTCACTATTTAAGTCCTGTGATTGCTCCCATATTGTATCAAATCATTCTCTCACTACAGAAGGAGTTTAAATGGTTAATGATATAAGAAAGTGAGAAGAGCATGGGATTTGGAAGCAGAAGGTTTAAATTTAAGCCTGGGTTATTCTATTATATGATCGGATTATTCACCTGTGGATAGATCCACCTGTGATCTAAAATCAGTAATTTAACCTAAGTCATGATTTCCTCATCTGCTAAATGAGAATAAGATTAATAGCTTTTAACACGGTAATATAAGAAATAAACATGAAAAGATGGGAGGATTACATAAACTAAAAGCTGTGTATATAAATATTATCATATGTCTTTCTAGCTCTTTTTACTACCTCATACTCTATATTTGCCTTTATTTGTTTATTGTCTGTCTCTTACCACTAAATTATAAGCTCCAGAAGTTCCGCTTTTATAGATTTCATTCACTGCTTTATACACAATGCCTTGAAAAGTACCTAACCGGTACACAGTAGATGCTAAAAACATTTACTGACCGACTCAATAAATAAACAAATGACCTCATTTTCAGAACTTTGCTAATTATAGACAGCATATCACTTTTAACTCTGGATTCCACTGGTTTTATTGTACCCCCCCTCCCATTCTTCCTCTATTATCATAATGTTAGCATCTATCTGAGTGTTTACTTTGCTCTGGGAATTATAGTCCCTCTTCATATTCTCTTGGAATGCACTCACCCTAATCCCTGCACATCCCTGAGCTACCTGTATGTTGGCCCAGATGTTATAAGGCTGGATACATCTCCCTTTGTACTCTTCTCTAAATCTTAGTGCTGTCTCAGACCATAGGGGAGGAGAATCAGGGATTTAACAGTTTTCAGAATTCCAGGCATTATTTTACATTTATGGTAATTAACATATTCTTCTTTTGCTGCTAATATCACATAGCTCAGTCCTGTGCAAAATGAAACATGTAACCATGGATCTCAGCTGGTGGTAGAAATCTATGCCACCCTCTGATCTCCGGTTACCCATTAATAGTTTTATTGCAATTAGCACTTCCTATCTTGTGTTTATTTACATTCCCTGTCTTTCTCATTGGATCATAAATAGTTACAGGTGAATGGGGTCATGAGTAAAGGGCTAACAAAAACCTCTCTCTGTGCCCATGCAAAACCAGGTCTATCTGAAAACCAGATAAAGGCAGAATGTTATCCATGTTATCATAACCATGTTATGATTAAAATTACCTCTGATTAGCAAATTATATCTGGTTTGGAGGACTATGAATGATATATAAATTCCTAGTGTAGACCTAGATTCCTGCATGCAGTGTATCTTGAAACCAAGAGTTCCCTTTAGCAGACCTGGAATCTATACCTATAGAGCTGTGATAAAGGACACTGGTTGGTTCCTCCACTGAGACTGAGGCTTCTCTGCAGGGATGGTTCCCATTCCCTAAAACCTGAGCTGTCACTTGAGGTAGGGTATAGCCCCTGGACTGATAGGAGGGTTCCTACTGATGCTGCCCTGCTAGCTAGTATGCTAAGTTTCTCATTCTGTATCCTTCTAAGGGGCTATGGGCCAGGCACTGTAAGCATTTGAACTTGATTTAATTATACCCCAAACCACCTAGAGCAGGCATTTCAAGGGCATAACAGATCCAGGTTTTAACTGAATTAATCGCTGCTGAGACTCTCCCCCCAAAATGAGTTCTAGTGTGAGCAAGAATCAAAACATCTCCCATCTCTGAAATGTCCTTACCTGAATTGATAAGAGCGTATCGTAAGTTTCTTTCTTTATATGTTTCATGTGGACAGTGGAAAGTACTGTGGAGGAAAAGGAGACACTGTTTATAAGGTTCTCCTACAAGCACTGTTGAGCAGAGAGAGAACATGCTCCTGGACACAGGATGAAGACCTGGGCCTCCACACCTTCTGCACATACACCTCACAGGTAGTTCTCATTAACACTTTATTGATTGTGGTGAATAATAAAGATATGATCCTGCATGTGAGTCCATACCTGCTCCATATAAAGTGCTTTCACATACATCCCTTCATGTAGCATTTATAATGAATGACCCAGACAATAAGGGCAGTTAAAATAAATCATATTATGCTGATGAATAAATAAAAGCCAAATGAAGAAACTCAGCCCAGAGAGATGAATAGCCTAAGACCTAAAACTTGACTATAGATCTCCTGACTTCTAATTCAGAACACTATCCTGCCTCTCCTACAAGACAAAGGATGCCAAAAGATGGGAGGAAGGCCAGCAGAGAACATGCCTGACAGGCTATTTGGGTGAAAGAACTGCAAATAGCACTGTTCTCTGGTTCTAGTTGTCTGCACATCGCCTTTTTCCATTTTCCTAAGTATCAATCCATATTTCCTCCTTATAATTCTATTCCATGTTTCCCTACTACATTGATTCCCCAAACTTCTCTAACCCCTGAGCTCCTGGGGCTTGGTCCATGACAGTACTATTTCTCTGACACTGCCTCTACTTCCTGTTGTTAGGTCATAGCCATTTGGCAATGACAAAGATAGTCTTAACTCTGGTCCCAGCCAGGCCCCACTCTTGCCACTATGGACCGAACAGGATGGAGCAAGTGTTCTGCATTGTTGGTGCTCTGAGGGTAACAGCTGGTGGGGTAGCAAGGTAAGGACTGGTTCCTTAACTCAGCCCACCACTTTTTCCTAAAAACTATGGGGCCTCGGGGCACCTGGGTGGCTCAGTCGGTTAAGCATCTGACTTCAGCTCAGGTTGTGATCTCGGGGTCCTGGGGATCAGGCCCCTCAGTCAGGCTCCATGCTCAGTGGGGAGTCTGCTTCTCCCTCCCCCTCTTCTTTTGCCCCTCCCCCCACTCATGGGCTGCATGCTCTCATGCTCTTTCTCTCAAATAAATAAAATCTTTAAAAAGAAATAAAGCATCCATGGGAAGTGGGAGAAATAAAGCATCAGAAGGACTGCTATTCTGTTTCAGACTTCACTAGTACAGGAAAAAGAATAAAGAGAAATTGTACCCTGTTTTAAGTGGCCTCTTTTCAGTTCATCTCCATTATCAGCAGTCATAAGTAACACCTTGATCCCTCTTGTGATCAGGGCCTGTGGAGAAATTTGGTAAGGTAAATGAACTGTCCCTGATCCCATGGAATGGCTTCTCTCTAGAAAAAAATGATGATGATAAAAATACTGGAATGAAGCTGAGGAATGGAGAAAAAGTTCTAATTCCTTCAACCAACTACTTGTAAGTTAGTAAATTAGAACAAAAAAATCAGCCACATTCAGAAAGACCAAACTGATAATTAAAATATCAGACCTAAAGGAAGAGGCAGTGGGACTATTTTCATTCACCTTAACACAGTGCTTTCCCCTAAGGACCTGAATCCCAGATTTTGTCTAGTGCATCAGAGAGCTTAAGACAAACCTCCTCTTCCACACTCATGCTCAAATTAACCACATGCTGTGGACCCAACTCACAGGATGGATTAAGAAACACACACACAGGGCGCCTGGGTGGCTCAGTTGGTTAAGCAACTGCCTTCGGCTCAGGTCATGATCCTGGAGTCCCGGGATCAAGTCCCACATCGGGCTCCCTGCTCAGCAGGGGGTCTGCTTCTCCCTCTGCCCTCTTCCCTCTCGTGCTCTCTGTCTCTCATTCTCTCTCTCTCAAAAAAATAAATAAAATCTTTAAAAAAAAAAAAAAAGAAAGAAACACACACACAACTGCTGGTTTTCCTTTGGTCAATGGCAAGCGCAAGTAAATTTTTGTTTAGTCAATCTATAGTCACACTTGCTGCATGAGACTTTAATGTCTCTACTTTAGAAATAAATCCAAGAGAGTCTAAATCAAAGAGAGAGAGAAGAGGCTAAGAAACTTATTTACTTGAAAGGTCAAATATTAAGACTATGGGGCGCCTGGGTGGCTCAGTTGGTTAAGCGACTGCCTTTGGCTCAGGTCATGATCCTGGAGTCCCGGGATCGAGTCCCGCATCGGGCTCCCTGCTCGGCAGGGAGTCTGCTTCTCCCTCTGACCCTCCTCCTTCTCATGCTCTCTGTCTCTCATTCTCTCTCTCTCAAATAAATAAATAAATAATCTTTTAAAAAAAAATATTAAGACTATGGCCATGAATACTGAGAAAAGCCAAAGGTATGCCTTTCCTGGGCCTATGGATCACAATATCCTGAAGGCGAAACTATTCCTGCAATTATCCTTGTTGATTATGAGAAGGTGGTTTGCTTTTTCTGAACTCTTCTGAAAAACAGGGAAGGCTGAAAGGTGAACAGAATGAGTGAGAGGAGACAGCGTGTCATATATTAATTACAGTCAACCCTTCCACTACCATAGGTCCTATACAGATGCAATGTTTCACATCTTTAGCCCGAGCAAGCAATATGGCCGGTTGGTAAGTTGCCATATAACTTTTCATCTAAACTAGAACACTTGATAATGAAAAGGGTGTTAACCAGGATTCATGGACCACTACTCATAGGGATAGCAATAGGCTCCCCTTCTAGGGACTGTGGGCTATTTTGTTTCAGACTAAACATCCTGCTAATAACAACTAGATAAACTGGACAAAAAAATTAACTTATTTGAAGATACTAGATCTATATCAAGGCAGGACTTGAGGAGTCAAGTTTTCAGAGAGGCAGGCGACCTAGAGAGGTGAATCCAGCATGTGTTATACTTTTTCCTTGAGACATTGATTCCCCAAGCATCAGTTGAGATGCTGAAAAGCTGAGTAGATTTCCCAGCAATTTATGAGATGTGGGGAAAGAAACTGTAGTTCATAGACAGCCAAAAGAGAGGAGGGGCCATAACAATTCTAGGCTTTTAGCTGGAACCCAAAGGGCTATCCCTTAGGAGAGAAGGTGAACAAGAATTAGACTTACTCTCATAAGAATTAAAGCCCAGCTCCAAATCATTTCAATTACCTTCTGGAAGCAAAAATAAATCCATCTGAATAGCTTCAAATGATTTCAGTCATGTTTTCATAAATAAATTGGATTGAAAAATTACTAGGCATACCAAAAGATATTACTTTACTGAAACCATGAGAAAAACAGACAACAGAACAGATACATATGAAATTAGACATTAGGTTTCTTAAACATTGCTTTGAAATAATTATAATTAATATGTTCAAGGAGTTTTTTAAAAGTGGAAAATTTTGGCCAAAAAAAAGGAAACCAGAAAAGAATCAAATGAAAATTCTAGAGCTAAAAATCATATATCTGAAATTGAGAACTAGGTTTGACATCAAATTAGGCAAAGTTGCAGAGAAAATTCATAAATTACAAGATATCTTAGAAAAAATCATCCAGGGGGCGGAGCAAGATGGCGGAGGAGTAGGACACCTGGATTTCGTCTCCTCTCAGGAATTCAGCTGGATAGGGATCAAACCATTCTGAACACCTACAAATTCAACAGGAGATTGAAGAAAAGAAGAGCAATAACTCTCTCATCAGAAAAGCGACCACTTTCTGGAAGGTAGGACGTGCGGAGAAGTGAATCCGAGGCGATATTCAGGAGGATAGACGGCGGGGGAGGGGCCTCCGTTGGCCGCTTCTGGCAACTGATAGAGCCGCGGAGCACAAAATCGGAACTTTTGAAAGTCTGCTCCGCTGAGGGATGTCACTCTGGTGGCTAAGCGGGGGGTGGAACCCTCCGGGACAGTGTGGTCTCAGGACCCTCGGGGTCACAGAAAGACCGGGGGTGCCTGAGTGTGGCAGAGCTCCCAGGTAACGGAGCAGGGAAGCCGGCTGCAGAGACGGAGCCCAGGCGTGGGGTTGCCCTAAACCGTGATCCGCTGCACAGTCGGGCCCCTGCTCCTCCAGCAGGGACCCAACAAGCGGCAGATCCGGGGAGACTCACCTTCCTCCCCCGGGAGGAGCCACGCGGAGGGCACCGCAGGGATCTGCTGGGTTTGGAGACTCCACCCGGGGTCGGGTGCCAGAGATAGAAACGCGCGGTCACAGGCCGGGTGAGCACGGAGTGCGGCCGGAGACCGGGGAGACGGGAGTGACTGACGGCTTTTCTCTGGGGGCTCCCTGAGGAGTGGGGCCCCGAGTTCTCAGCTCCTCCAGGGAGGAGATTGGGAGGCCGCCATTTTCACTCTCCGCCTCCAAAGCTGTACGGAAAGCTCGCAGGGAACAAAAGCCCTGGAGAGCAAACCCGAGCAGATTACTTAGCCGGGAGGGGGCAAGGGCGGGGCAATTCCGCCTCTGGCAGAGACATTTGGAAACCACGGCAACAGGCCCCTCCCCAGAAGATCAGCGAGAACAGCCAGCCAAGACCAAGTTTACCGATCAATGAGAACGGCAGAACTCCAGCGCTAGGGGACTACTGCACATAGAATTCATGGTTTTTTACCATGATTCTTTAGGCTTTTAAAGTTAATTTTTTTTTAACTTTTTGTCTTTTTATTTCTTTTTGAATTTTTCTTTTTCCCTTTTTCAACCAACATCTTATCAATCCCTTTTTTAAAAAAAAAAAACATTTTTATTTTTCATTTTTAGAGTCATATTCTATCCCTTCATAGTAGTTACCCATATTTTTGGCTTATATATATAAGTTGTTCTCTCTTTAAAATTTTGAGATAGTTTCTTCTAACAGATTAAAATATACCCTAAATCTCTAGTATATGGTGTTTTCTATTCCCCTGCCTGATCACATCTTCTCCCTTTTTTTTTTCTTTTTCTTTTTTCTTTTTTTAAATCCTCTTCTTTCTTTTTTCAAACAACTTCTTATCAATTCCTTTTATAAAATTTTTTATAATTTCCATTTTTACAGTCATATTCCATCCCTTCATCATATCAACCCTTATTTTTGTACATATTAAGTTTTTCTTTCTTTAAAATTTTGGGAGGCACTTTCTTCTAAAAGACCAAAATACACCCCAAATCTAGTGTGTGGCACTGATCTATATACCAGCCTGATGATATTTGATCACATTCTGGTTTTTTGTTGTTGTTGCTGTTGTTGTTTTGTTTTGTTTGTTTTTCTTTTTATCTTTATCTTTTTCTTTATTTTCTTTTTCTTTCTTCTCTCTTTCCCTTTCTTATCCCACTGCTTCCGGTCTTTTCTGATTTGTTTAGAGTATATTTTCTGGGGACGTGGTTACTCTGCTACCATTTTGTTCTCTCATTAATCTATTCTCCTCTGCACAAAATGATGAGATGGAAAAAATCACCTCAACAAAAAGAACAAGAGGTAGTACCAACTGCCAGGGACCTACTCAATACGGACATTAGTACAATGTCAGATCTAGAGGTCAGAATCATCACTTTAAAGTTACTAGCTGGGCTTGAAAAAAATATGGAAGTTATTAGAGAAACCCTTTCTGGAGAAGTAAAAGAGCTAAAATCCGACCAAGTAGAAATCAAAAAGGCTATTAATGAGGTGCAATCAAAAATGGGGGCACTAAGTGCTAGAATAAATGAGGCAGAAGAGAGAATCAGTAATATAGAAGATGAAATGATGGAAAATAAAGAAGCTGAGGAAAAGAGAGATAAACAACTACTGGATCACGAGGGCAGAATTCGAGAGATAAGTGATACCATAAGAAGAAACAACATTAGAATAATTAGGATCCCAGAAGAAGAAGAAAGAGAGAGAGGGGCAGAAGGTATATTGGAGCAAATTATAGCAGAGAACTTCCCTAATTTGGGGAAAGAAACAGCCATGAAAATCCAGGAAGCACAGAGAACCCCTCTCAAAATCAATAAAAATAGGTCAACACCCTGACATCTAATAGTAAAACTTACAAGTCTCATAGACAAAGAGAAAATCCTGAAAGCAGCTCGGGAGAACACATATGTAACCTACAAGGGTAGAAACATTAGATTGGCAACAGACCTATCCACAGAGACCTGGCAGGCCAGAAAGGACTGGCAGGATATATTCAGAGCACTAAATGAGAAAAATATGCAGCCAAGAATCCTATATCCAGCTAGGCTGTCATTGAAAATTGAAGGAGAGATAAAAAGCTTCCAGGACAAACAAAAACTAAAGGAATTTGCAAACACAAAACCAGCCCTACAGGAAATCTTGAAAGGGGTCCTCTAAGCAAAGAGAGAGCCTAAAAGCAACATAGACCAGA